CTACGTCATACTTTTTTTTGGATACTTTTATCGTGCAAGTCTGTAAAAGAATTGTATTATTTGCATTATGTGAAATGGCCGAAACAATTTCTTCTTTCTGTTCCTTAGTTTGTGTATCATTTTTCGAAATTAATATACTATCCTTTTTATCACTTGGTGTTTTTTTAACTATCGAACTGGATTTAAAACATGAATGTACCTTTGCAAATTTTACAAACTTTAGTTTGCCGGCACTGTGAGATTTTGTGTTTAGGGGCCAGGCAAAGAAAAGACAACAACGCGCTTGTTTTTTCAAAATATCTCTCTTCTCATTAACTGTAAGGCATAAACAGGACTCTGAGTCATGGTTTTGAAAACAAAAAATGCAGTTTCCGATTTGATGACGCGGCTGCCATAAATTCATGTGTGGTGACAGTTTGTTTATGTTTCGGCGTCGGTGGATATCTGTTAATACCTTTCATTTCCGGGTTTTGACTTGCGTGGAAAGGATAACGAATTAATCTTTTCTCGCGATTCTATTTCTAATCGGAGAAAGTCTAGAAATTTGTTTAAATCATAGGTTGAAGGATTTTCAGTATTTGTACGATGAAAATTCTAAAGTATAATCGTTCGGGACAATTTTCATCAAAATTGGAATAAACATGTTGGAATATGTTTCTGGTTTCACACCGAATGCTAAAAGGCTTCTGACTTGAACGTTAATTGTATCATAAAGTTTTCGCAATTTTGCCACTTCACTTGAACTTTGAACGGGATTTAAATTTAAGAGATTAGAAATGTGTGTATTGATAATAAGGTCACTTTGGCCGAATCTATTTTTAAGAATGTCTGTAGCAGAGTCATAATTAGCCTCTAAGATTGAGAGACCTTCTATGGCTGATGCTGCGTTTCCACATAAATAAGTTCTCAAATAATTAAATTTTTCGATCTTCGAAAGTGTAACATTGTCATGAATAGTGACCTTGAATGAATTCCAAAAATTCATCCAATCGTTTATAGTCTCCGGAAAAATTTGTGAATTAACAGTTTGGGCAATTTCACATTACCTTCAATCTGTCTTTTGGTTTCAACTTCCTGTAGATGAATTATTTAAATTCGTGTTGATATTTTGAGTATTGTATTTCCTTAAATAACGGTTGATTTTAGACTTCGCTATTATTATTTTATCGTTATATTCCATAGAAGTGTTAATATCTGAATCTAATTTTGATTCATCTTCAATCAAATTTTGTACTTTTTTTCATTTAAATCATGTAGTTCCGTTTCTTTACTATTTAACAATTCCAAACAATTTTCTAACTCTTCTTGATTTTCTTCTTTTAAATACTCATCTACATTTTTAATAATTTGAGTTACAGAAGCACGTATATGTGCTCGATTCTTAATTAGTGTCTTCTGTTCCATTTTAATAAATTATCAAAGGAGACTTACCGTGAGAAATCTTCGCTTACAAAGCTAATCCAAAAGGCGAAAAACACCAAATTTTCAAATTAATCAGATTCTTTTCCCGGCCGATGCACCATTATGTAACGAAAGTTCTAGATCAAAATCGAATCACTCATAATCCAAAAGACGAGATGCATGGCCTGGAGGGTTTTCCATAAATTTTAATTAAACTTAATATTTACATATATACAATGTAGGCTAAAATGCCTGAATCGAATATTTAAGGCTCAAAAGGCAAGAACTGAATAGTTCCAGCTAAAATCTCAATCGAATTCTATTGCGTAGTGCATCGAAATTCTACCTTCAAGAAGAAGAATATTTTTTCAAGTCACGTGTTCAGAAGGGGAAAGGTTAAGTAAGCCAATAGATGGACTCCTAACGCCATCTCTTGGCGATATCAAAGAATATTCCTTAACACAGATAAATATAAATATAAATTTGATAATTGTGTCATTATTATAATTATTGACTGTGTTTTAGTAAATATCTGTAAGGGATTAAGAACTTAAAAAAATAGAGAAAAGAATTTAACTGAAAGAAAGTACATCATAGTTTTAGCCAGGTAGAGAAGGAAAAATGTTTTATGTTTGAGAAAGAAACACTAAGTATTGAAAAACGCATTTTAGAAAATACAAGAGGATGTTGTTAAAGTAAATTTTCTATTAAACCATGTTCAAGGCAAATTAAATTTTAAAAATATAATCATATATAAACTCACTCTCATTTTATTTTAACTCAATGTTGTTTTAATCCTCATATTGTTTTAATCTGGCCTCCCAGATGCTTTCAGATTCTGCATTAAGCCCATTTATTAATTTGAGTTTGAGACACAGCTGTAGCTCATTAAAACCAGAAAAAGTAAGTAGAATGTCTCTTCTGTGTCAAGTATATCATAGGGTGTGCACATATAACCTGGTACGGACGGAAACTAAGTTCAAAGCAACGTCGTGGAAAAATTTCGGTATGAAACTAAGCATACTTTTATTTTGTTTTACAATTTTATAGCCAGTTCATTCATCAAACCTTGGATTCGATATCTGACGTCAGCATATGCATTCAAGATGTCAGCACACATCATTTTAATCAACAGAATCATAGAGTTAACACTCAGCGTTTTTCTCAGCTGCAAGTGAAGTGATGAAAACATTATTTTATCTACTTTGTTCGGTGCTTCTGATTCTAATTCCTTAAGAAAGTTTACAAAAGATTCAGAGTACATTTCTAAAATCTCATTTCCTTGTATAAACATGCAGAAACTGCTTTCTTTCTTTGAAGCAGAACTCAAACTGCTGCATTTGTTCCAAGTTTTAGATTAACGAAAAAGTGTCGTTTTTCTTGCTTTCACTGACCGCACGGCAGTGATTAAGTTGCTCTTAAAAAGTACGCAAAAGAAGGGGAATAAAAACATCATTCAGGTTCAGCATCCTGTTTGCACATGTTATGACAAACGAATGCATTGAATACGATAACTATCATTATCAATATGATGAAATATAGGGCAGCAGGTGCCAGGAAATTAAGTTATGATTTGGAAAAGCTTAAATTGGTTCTTGCATAGATTCTACAGGAAGCAGACATTTATGTTATCATTAAAAAATAACATATTTTCTATGATCGTAACCTCTTCAGTGGCATATTTTCTTCGAAAGGTTTTGCAATCTGCCAACGCTCTTCTTGTCAATGGATTATTTTAATTCTTGCTGTAAACGTTTATTTAGTTTTAGTAAAGGTCATATGCAGTCACGATCATTATCAACTCGTACGCTATTGCATCACAGATAATCCTATGTATAGCCGTAAAGAACATTTTGGCGATCATACGTTGACTGTAGCACGCATGCGACAAAAAAAAAAAAAAAAAAAAAAAAAAAAGTTGCTCCATGAAATAATCGAAAGAATTCAATTACTCGTACGCATACTTTGAAACATTTAGAAATGATTTCAGATTCTTGTTTACAGTTGCGGGAAAAGGAAATGTTTGTCATTAAGAATCAGACCGAACTGCATTATTGTCTTTTATTTGCCTATTATTCTTTTTTATTTTATAAAAATGAGATTCGGGTAAAAAGAAGAAAGATTTTCCTCAGCTTTAAGAAGGATTGCAAAGGAAAATCTTTTTAAAGTCTGCCTCTCTGCGAAGCATTTTTTCAGGCCCCCCCTCGTCGTAATATTTTCCTTTCCAACTAATCTTATATTTTGCTCAGACGAACAACATATTTTATTTTGTGTTTTTTAAAGATTTTCACTAAACGAAAATAAAGTAAAATTCCTTTGTGATAGTAAAGTTTGTATTTTGAGAGCAAACTTCTTATGACATTAAGGGAATGTTACAGTGCCCATGAATTAACATTAACTAAACCCAGTAATACTAATTCGCTCTTCTGTTTTAGACATCAATTTAAAAGAATGAATTTTCTGTTCTAGAAAGATATGATCATCGGAATAATTCAATATTAAAGTCGTTTGCTGGACTATTTTTAACATTTTTGGTGGGCCCACCAACGAGACTGAGAGGTAAAAGCCGCCGAATACTGGTAGTTAGTTCCGGGGTTCGATTAGCGGCGAATAGGCTAGCTGCATGAGCGTTTTCGTGCTTTGCCCCATGTGTAACGTGGATACGAACCAGTTTTCCTTAAAATGTCCTCCGCGGGCATTTCTCTACTTCCATGTACCAAATGGCGGAGAACGTGACAAGTAGAAAAAGTATATAGGCGAACACTGGATTCCACGATATTATAAGCAACTAAATCTAAGATGAAATTAAAAAACAAGGAAAGACCAGATCGTAAATTGTGAGGAAGCTTCGCTCCGCTTATTCTTGGTTTTCGAATGAAATTATAATTCCAGCCGGAGCTCTAAAAAAACGAAATCAAGTTTATTATTTATCATTAATTTAACTTACTTTATTATATTTTTTATTTTTTTTAAATTTGTTCAGACAGAGTTTTAATGCATTACGATCCCACATTACCGTTAATGCAGATGCATCTCCGGTAGGTCTTGGGGCAGTGCTCTAGCATGTTTTGTCTGACGGAACAGAAAGGCCTATAGCATTCGCATCGAGGACACTGACTAACACAGAGCAGAAATACGCCCAAATCGATAAAGAAGCACTGTCAATTGTTTGGGCTGTCAAAAAGTTTTATCTATATCTAAAAGGGAAGACGATTTTTCTCTGGTGACAGATCATAAACCTTTAGTGGCTATTTTCAAATCGAAAAGAGGACTTCCTATTCTCACAGCCACCCGACTTTACATTATGCACTGATATTGCAAGCATATCAATTTGATATTGCGTATCGAAATATCAAGGAACACGGTAATGCTGACTGCCTGTCGCGCCTGCATCTTAAGTCCGAAGATTTAAAACATTAAGGATGATGTTGAAATATTCCAACTCTCCCAAATTGAAACTCTTCCGGTAACAGCTAGGGAGATAGCTCGGGAAACGCGAGCTGATGAAGAATTAAATAGTCTTTATATGAAATTAAAATCTGGAGAAAGTTTGGAAACGTAGGGAAGCAGCCGAGTACACCTTACAAGATGACTGTATAATGAGTGGTCAGAGGGTAGTTGTTCCGAAAAAACTCCGAGTTAAAATTCTCGAAGAGTTACACCAAGGACATTTAGGAATCGTTAAAATGAAGGCAATCGCCAGATCCTACGTCTTTTGGAAGGGAATTGATCATGATATTGAAGAAGTTTCTAGGAACTGTGTCGATTGTATTAAGTTCAAATCAGATCCAGTAAGGGCAAGGGTCCATCACTGGGAATATCCAAGTGCGCCTTGGGAACGCATTCACGTAGATTTTGCAGGCCCTATTTTTGAACGAATGTTCTTGATTATCATTGACGCACATTCTAAATGGCTAGAAGTGTATACCTTAAAGTCAACAAATTCCTTTCAGACAATTGAATGTTTGAGAGAGACTGTTTTGCAAGATACGGACTGCCTTTAGTAGTAGTGAGTGACAATGGTCCTCAGTTCACATCGGGGGAATTTGAAACTTTTATAAGGAATAATGGAATTAAACACAAAACGTGTGCTCCAGTTAAACCAGCAAGTAACGGGCAAGCAGAGCGGTACGTTTACACCGTTAAACAAGCATTACGTGCAATGCAAGGTTATCCAGGAAATATTAAGCAAAAACTTGCCATATTCCTCATGAATTATAGAAAGGCACCGAACTAGTCCAGCAATGTTATTCTTAAAAAGAGAAATTAGAACTCGAATTGATTTAGTTGTTCCAAATCTTAGACGAAGAGTGGAAGAACGCATCCGAAGGAATACTTATGATTTCAAAGACAGAAATTTTGAGATCGGAGAAAAGGTTGCCATTCGGGATTATAGATCGGCAAATTCCCGATGGAAAATTGGCAGAGTGACAAACAAGGATGGAGCGCTGCATTATACCATTGACGTTCAAGGAACTTTACTGCGCCGGCACGTCGATCAGATCAGATCGGTAGGGAGCGAGGTTCCATCTGCACCCGATAATCTATGAACCTCGTATGGCTGCTACTTCAGATGGCAACGTGAAGCCACAGGCTCCGGACAAGGACATTCGAACAAAGAAGTGAAGCTGTGCAAACTTCAGCCGGACTTGAAACATCGTCAGTTCCAAGGAAAACTGAGCCAGTCCTTCCAGTGGATTCTGATAAAGAGTTGCAGCAACCTCAGCCAGGAACTTACACGATCTTCGCGCATCCGCAAAGCTCTCAGAGATTAAATCTCTAAATAAGTGGGGAGGGATGTAGCATCTGATTTCGAGAGTATCATTACTCTTATATGCCTGAGAACCTCTGTGAACGAGAGTAGAGTAGAATGTAATGTAACTGCGTAAATAGCGCATCGCTGCTGTCTTATGAGTTAGTTAGAAATAAATGTTTGTGCCTTGAACTAGTCTGTTTTGGTTGCGTCATGCACTTCACTGAACCCACACCGCTAGACACAACAAAGTATTAGTTTATTAAGAGTAAGGCATACTGGATAAATTTCTGAATTTTCAATCTTGTTAAAAATATTGAAGGTAATAAGATCATCTGTATATCTGTAAGTGTGGACGTAGTAAATTAAATCCTGTTGCTGTAAATATTTTGGAGGGTAAATTCTTTAATGAATAAAAAGATATTACAAACGGATTTACTCGAGTGCGCTCCCATTGGGATACCTCTGATTTGCTTAAAAAGTTGATTTTGAAATTTAGAGTAGTTATTAAAAATAGTGCATTTAAGGAAGATTTTCCATCTATTAAAGTCTATAACTGTAAGCACAACAGGAAAGAGTTTAGGCAGATCAAGGAGGGTAGCATAGATTTCTTCTAATGGAAGTGAGGTATATAAGTTTTCAAAGTCATAGCAGTTAATACTTTGTATGTAAATAGACAGAGTGTTATTACTAGTTATTATCAATAATCCAGCAATAATTATGTTCAGTGTTACAAGCGTTGAAAATAAATTTACAAACTTTTTAAGTGTAAAATAAAAGTCTAGATTTTTCTTGTAATTATTGGTACCATTTACAATGAATCTGAATTTTAGTGGTGTTTTATGGAATCTGGGTAAAGCATACAAACTAGTAAATCTGTTGTACTTTGGATTTACTGAGATTTTGAGTTTCTTATGAAATGCTGTAATTTTGCTAATTATAGAGGTTACTGTAGTGTTTGCTAATTGATAAGTATGGGCGTTAAAACGTTATTCACTAATAATTGTTGTGTAGAAAAGTTTTCATATAATGCTAAAGTTATTATTTGTTTTATCAATTTTGGTAACAGTGAATAGTTGCTTTAAATTCTTAATAGTTGACAGAAGTTGAGACCAATTTAATTGACGTTGAAATTTTACTGGTTTTAGTTCAGTATTAATTTGTCTAAGGATTTCATCTTTTCATTTTAAAAATTTATCAATAGACAAATTAAGCTGATAGCTGGCCTTAACGATAAATTCTTTGATGCTATTTTCTAAATTTTTGTAACACTAACTTTTGTTGACGTATCTGACTGCTGTATATTTTATTCCATAACTCATGTTTTAAGTTGCGCATTTTGAATGATATCCAGGTTTCCAGTAATTATGTGCCGGTGATGATTCATCTACGTATGGACTGAATTCAGGCAATTTGCATTATCATTCAGTCGAGTCTTTTATTTCATGGCGGTTACTTAGCAAGCTGCTTTATGTTTTCTGATATTTAAATACAACTACTGGTGTCTAAAGCTGGGAAGAAAATTTTACATTTATTCGTGAGAAAGCGTAATTTGTCAAACTGCTGATGCAGAAAAATTGATTTTAATGTAAATTTTACGTTTAGTATGATAGTTAGAAAGTCTGTATTTACAGCAATCAAGAACTAGGTTTTTAATCATTTGTAGATTGTTGTATTGCGAAAGAAAATAATTTTGAAGTATTAAAAGAAATTTATTAATACGAGAGTGTAACCAGATAAGCAGTTTCTTGGGGAAATTTGCAGAATTAAATAAATTTTTTAATTGCGTCAGCAATTTAATTGTATCTAAAGCTGGCAAAAATCTTTTATCGTTGATTCTACTTCTTCTTTTACCTCTCTGCTTTTTGGTGCTGTAAAGTTTAAATTGGCTGAATATTGATTTAATGTTACTTTGAATGTAAGTAGGGGCAAAAATCTTTTATCGTTGATTCTACTTCTTCTTTTACCTCTCTGCGTTTTGGTGCTGTAAAGTTTAAATTGGCTGAATATTGATTTAATGTTACTTTGAATGTAAGTAGGAAGTCCGTAAGGATAGAGCTTACGTTATTTCACAATATATAGCGATTCTTGAAAAATTCTTTCTCCGTCATTAGGTATTATGTCCAAAATCTGTATTTTAATATTGTTAAAGTCGTGGTGTTTAAAGTGTTCTAATTCCGAGGAGTTAAGTTGGCTAGATGAATTAATTTCAGTCTCGTCACTTGCGAATTTTAATATCTCTGGGAAAAATTCAATATGCGAATCCAGAAAACGATTCTTAGTGATGCTAAGATTATCATTATTATGCATTATCATGCCACACTGCTTGAATTAACGGTTATCGGAAACGTTAATCAATGTTTAATATTATCACCCCTGGTTTAAAGGCTTGCTCACTATTTGGTCAAGTGAATCGCAAAGAGATACTCTACATTTGTAAAGAAAAAAAAGTTGAATTAAAATGAGTTATATCCTCTTTATTCCGACTGCGAAACCATCTTAAAATACTATCAGATTTAATCTTTAAATTATTCCAATAATATTCAGAACAATGGAGGCCATTTAACTATAATTCACAAATACAAATCCTATTTTGGTTTCAAATGGTTTTCATTAATTACGTTAATGATACTGATATTTATAGAAATTATTAGCAAAGATAGTTATAAATACTTTGTTATTGATATTTATGTACTATATTATTAAAAAGCTTATTTTTTAATTACCTTAGTTTTTGTACTGATAAACAATTAATTTTTATAATATGAAAGAACAAGAGAAACAAAATTAATTATTTGCTGATATTTGGGAAAATTTCATCAGTCAATATACAGGAAAGGTATCTGTAATTGTTTTTAAACCACCCACTCCCAAGTTCCATTCAAGTTTTTATTCCTTAATGTAGTGATACTGAACGAGACCTAAAAACATCTTTCTTTTACATACTATTTTCCCTTTATAACATCTAACACCCCTCGTTTACTTTCCCTTTAGTAATTAACGTCATTCTCTCCTTCTGGACCGCATTTGCAACGACACCCTCCATTTCATACTTTCAGCCTTAGTAAAATGATTTCCTGTTATGACAAAAAACTCTTTCACTTCTAAAACCATTATCAGAGCTGATACCCGAAAGACCTGTCGAGCACATTCTGAAAACGGAAGTGATTTTATACCGTTTCTTACAAAGAAATTAGCTTTAACGGTATAACCCAGACTATTTGTCACTCCTCTGTACAATAAATATAATGACATGAAAGCGTTATAGCAAGCTATATTCATAGTTAATGAGAAACATATCGATATTTTTTATTCATTTTACCAACGTGATAGATTTACAAAATAAGATATCTTGTGACTAAAAGCAACGGTTTCGAACTACGTGTACACGAACATTACTGAAGTTCTAGTAATTACCATATCTCAAACCTGAGAAATACGATGAGTGTTTATACTAAATCCGGAGGAACACACTTTGCGCCGAATGGGGGATGCCAGACCATTAACAATCTGTCAACACTTGAGAACAGATGCAATCAGTGAGTGATTTTTCTCCTTCGTTTCGTTTCTTTATCGGAAAAGGATCCCCTGAGGTCGGAGTTTTCACTCGGAATGTTTTTTTCTTGGAATTTGAAGACTACGTTATTTATCTTACTCAAACTCATACTACGTCACTTTACTCAAAGAGTAGGAAACAAAATACTTCATCAGATGTCGCCACATTAGGCTAAGTAGCGCCATGAAGACCTTTTTGCAAATAATGGTGAAATAAGTGAAATGAAGCTAGCATTTTTTATGATTTATAAAGTTTGGCATTCTTTGGTTGCATGAACTAAGTCCAAACTCTGTACAGACGCTCTGTCTGAAAAGAACTTTAAAGTCATAAGTAGGTTTAACAAACCTTTTTATTCATTCAGAACTGGAACATAAAATGTACGTGTCGTGCTTAACAAAATCAACCAAGTGCTTGTGGCGATGTAACTTAAAGTAACAGTCAATTTCAAGATTTAAAACTTAGTAGCCAAATGTTACACAATTGATTTAACGTGAAGTTGACTCAAACTTTACACCGGAGAAAGAACTTGCATGATAGAAACTATAATGCAAAGCCCAACAACATAATATTATCTAAGCTAGCAGAAACCTAGTAACGTGGCCTCGAGAGCAGAAACACACTTTATCTTACAATCCGAAATACCTCAGCCTAATTACTTTAGCCTTATTTTCATTCTGGTAGGAAAAAGGAAAGAA